TCTGTGCAAGTTGCTCTGCGAAAGTGCTCCATGCAAGTTGCTTTGTGCAAGTGCTGCTGTGCACGTTGCTCTGCGCAAGTGCGCGGCGCAAAGTTGCTGTGTGGAAGCTTTCTTTGAAGTTGCTCTGTGCACCGAACGCTTGCACAGAGCAATTTGCGCAGGGCAACTTGCACAAAGCACTTGCGCAGGGCAACTTGCACAGAGTTACTTGCGTAGAGCAAAACGTTGCGCAGAGCAAATCGCTCTGCACAAGTGTGCGCGTGTGTATGTGTCCTCCTCTGAAATTGATTTGGTGCCTGCGCATTCCGCTGAAGACTCATCCACAAGTGTAAAAGGTAGCAAGCGTCGCTGTTTTGCACGCAGACGGTGCCACGTTTCGCAGAGTGGGTTCGATTCCACCACGCTGCCTTATAAAGTAGTGATTTGAACCTCTCGCGCATGCTTTCTCGTGCAAGGGTGCTCGCGCACGCGTCCTCGTGCCAGTGTGCTCGACCAAGTGCGTTCATGCAAGTGTTGTGTCTGTGCAAGATTGCTGGTGCAAGTGCGCTCGCAGGAGATGGCAAACAATTTTCTGGAAAACCCCTTTGCAGTGAGCTTCCCTTCGGTGGTGCTTTCAGGTTGGGCAGAAAAGGAGCCCCGTAGCCCTTGATTGTCCCAACCCAAGCCTGTTGAAGAGGCTCTTCACATTCTTTTGGTATCTTCTTGGATGGTTTAACAGATCTCATTTAGCTTCCCGGATAGTTACCTTCTTGAAATGAAAATAGACGAGTCCGTTTGATAGTTTGGTCTTGGCACCCTTAGCTGCAAGGGAAAGTGGTAGGGAGGTGTAGATATAGAGGTGTCTTTCTTTGATGTGCCTTGTTTGTTTGTTTGTTTGTTTGTTTCCAAGGAAAGCCAAACAAGCTTTCCACGGTTTCCAATTCCAATGCGATCGATATCGACCGATCGGAAACCGGCAAGGAGGCAGCAGGCACTGTGGCAGGGCGCCGCCTCAAGGCGAGGCTTAGAGCATTGGGGGGTGTTCAAGCTAACGGACCCACAAAGTGCCCGAAACAGAACAGCCCATCGATTTCCGTGTTATTTCAGAGAATATGGAGCCTTCCCTTCCTTTTGCGCCAGAAATCATATTTTTGTGTGGGGCGAGGTTCTTATTTGGGGGGAGGGGGGGGGACCTTTGCGGGACCTTAAGGGGAGGCTTAAGGGGGGTCTTAAGCCCCCCTTCGCCCGAAGGGGGTGGGCCCAGTCTCCAGCGACTTCGATTGCTGCCCGTGGGTGCTTACACGGGCGTTCAGCTGGCACAGACCTATTAAGCGTTGCAGTTTTTGTGACTAGGCGATATGAGGATGAACACCTTTGAATTTAAGGGGAGGATCACCTTGGCAGTGAAAGTGGGTAGAAGCACGATCATTCCTGTAAGTGGGCGTTGTTTGCCAATTGCGGAGTTTGCTTGGTGCGTTTGAAAAGGGAAGCTACGCAGTTTTATTTCCGTTTGGTGGGAGGTATGCAATTACTTCTGCGATTTGCCCGAGTCAGGATCGACCATGTCTTTAGGCATCAGTTGCGATTTCAGCATAGGCAAATCTGCCACTTCTTGCTGCCACAGCTGTAGATATCGTTGAATCCCGCGCTTGGGTCCTGGGGCGCGTTCCTGGCAAGTTGCAGGGAGATTCTGCGCACTTTGTTGTTCGTTTCGGGGTTTGGGGAAATAATGCCACTGATGCTTCGGCTGATTTTGCCCTCTTTGATTTCCAATCAGCTGATGGTTTTGGGACCTAGCCCCTGCGAGACCCTGCAACTCCTTATTGGCGACCGGCCTCGAGAGGAAAGCGGCGACATTGTTTTTCCATACCGCCTGGCTCCAAAGAAGTTCAGCAAGATATGTTCCGAGGTTCCCTCAAACAATTCTCTACGAAACAATTAGGGGACAGAAGCGACAGTTGTCCGAAAAGAGAGGGCACTTCGGCGAACATTTGTGTTTCTTTGACCCCCAAACTGGCTTTTCCGGAATGCGTTTTCAGAGCAGTAGGCACATTCGTTTGTCGTTGAGCCTTCTTCGGGTTGCTTTCGGCCAAAGCCAGGGGCACATGCACACACCCACACAAACATTCAGAAGCCACGCTCAATCTTCAGAAGAGGTGTTCAGCCGACGTGGGATTTCGGTAAGGTCTCACTGCTAGTATTTGTTTTATGATACGTAATTGGATTAAATTGCACTTGCAAGAACGAATGGGTGTCCAACATAAATAATACCCTGGAAGCTGCATTTGGCAGCCGATTCTGCTGTAGCCCCTACAAGGGTCACTGGCCGATGCCCCCTTGCTCATCATTTTCTCATTTGAGTCGGTCGACTTTCCATTGTCGGAGGAGAGGACAACTCCAAATTTTGTGCAACAACTTGGAGGGACACAGCATTTCTCATGCCCACAAAAGGAATCTAATTCACGCCTAGGACGGTTTTTGGGCAGCATGGCACTGAGGGTGATTTGCGAGGCTTTTCATGATGCGTTGAATCTGTTTCACCAACCTGCAAGCATCCTGATACGCAACCAAGTTCTAGCCGCTAGCCCAATCTTTGGGGAAACAATGCAATCAGCTAGAGCAGTTGTCGAAAACCCAAATGGGAAAAACAAGCATGTCCCAGAGTGTGCAGTCGCTGACGGATTCCAAATCCTTCACGTTGGAAGGTCTCGAATTTGCAGAGCAGCTTCTTCCATAAGCGCTGGCCCCAGCTCTCGGCCAGCGAGAACCAGCAGGAGCTCCCGGGCCTGGTTTGTGTCAGGGGAGGTCCAGTGGCTTTGTTGGCAGGATATTTTGACAACCGGATTTGTATCATGGATGAATGAGCCTGGCAGATTCGACGTGTTTTAACATTCCCCACTAGTCAATCAGAAATTGGCCAGTCCTGAGTTTTCATTGTTAAAAGAAGGTGGTTGTAGCCCCATTCCAGGCATCCACTTAACACAGGAGCGGCCTGGGGTGGGTGCAAAGTGATCTAGATATTTTTTTCATCCAGGGGGAACCGAACCCGGACGTTCGGTTTCCCATCACCTGCTTATGTGACTGCATGTTTGGTCCAAAAGACAGATTGGGGATCAAGACAGGGTTCTCAATGGGACCTTTTTGCTTAATCAACCAGGGTGCATGAATCCTTCCCGTTACCTTGTGTACGTCGGACAACGAGTTGACGTTTAACAGCGGGCGGATTGCCGCATCTAAGTAGCAAGGACTCCCTACAATTCCCTGATTTTGAAAAAGTGATGTTTGAAATGGGAAATATAGGGAGCTCTGTTGGATGACTCGACCCCCCTCACTTTCGCTCAAACTTTGGTGAGGACACACAATCTACATTACTGACCAGGTTACTTCATTGAGACAAACCTTCGCGCTTCTTACCTGTTTTGAAAAGATTCAATTCGGTCAACAGTTCGAATTGACAACAGGCTTGCCTCTCAAAAGTTGGTTCTTGGGGCTAGTGGAAGTGGAATCCTCAGGAACCTAAACCACCTAAGGGTTGGCTGTGAAACCGAAGGACACCGCCCATGGCTTTTTTTCAGGAGACTCCTTTGAGTCCGCAGACTTTGGTTTGGCTCCGTGCAGTTTCCAAACCATCCTTTCGGGCAAGAAACCACATTTTGTGGTCACTGGTCACTAGAGGGGTCACTTCATACTTGTGGTTTTGATGATTTTCGGAGGACGCCCGCTGCTTCCTCTCGCCCAAGCTGGTTTTCGTGGACCACGATGCAGACCTCGTGTCTGTGGCTTCGAACTTCTTTGCCTAGAGCAAATGCCCAGAGGGTCTGAGGTCGATCCCATGCCGAGAAAGCGGCTTTTCATTTGGAAGCACCCGCAGCAAAGCTGGCAATGGGTGTTGGCGTGCAAAGTTGGGAAGCTTCACAAAGCCTGATGCCGCAAAAAGCCGGTTTTCTTAATGCTGGGTGCTGAGACAGCGGCCGGCGGTCTGTGGCGCAGGCGACTTTGATCAAATCCGAACAGTTCCAACCATCAAAATGGGTGCGGCAAGGAGCCCCCATGCCTTCTCATTGTGGGTTGTTGGTAGACTCCTTAACACTATATTCTTATGGAGGGGTATTTTGTTAGGTTTTGTTTCTGTTTTGTTTTGGGCTTTGATTTTCGCTTTTGGCTTCTTGGCTTGACATCATTTTGGCTCTTGGCTTTTGGGCTTCTTGGCATCTTGGCTTTTCGGCTTTTTGTTTGGTTTATGCGGCTTTTGGCGGCTTTTTGGCTTTGGCTTTTCGCATCCTCTGCATTCCTAGTTTGTCTCTGGCATGCGTTTTGGCTTTTGCGGCTTTTTGCTGGTTTATGCGGCTTTTGGTGGCTTGGGTTTCTTCGTCTGTCTGGTGATTGCCGGCGCGTTCAGGGGTGCTGATTTTGGCTGTGCAGCGGCTTAGTACATTTTTCCAGCAGAGTTTGCGGCCCCAACCTACACCTCGTCTGTGCTGTTTGGTGGTTAGCCAATCCGAACCGAGGGGAAAGGTGTTGGCCTGCAATTCGAATCCTCAGCATTAGTGCTCAATGCGGCGGATGTGGCCGGAGCGTTGCCAAGATGCAAGGCTCCCTTGTGTTGCTGTAATCGCGTCATGGGATCCAATGCTTGATATGAGGCCTAATTCAGGGATGGGGAAGCATTCCAGACACAGAACGGTTTGATTTCACGTCACAATACGAGGAACAGGTCCTTTGCCGACTGGAGAAGCGGCCTAAGTTTTGGAGAAGCAACCAGTCAACTAGTCACAGGGGTCCCAAACACCCAACTTGCGTCTTGGCTTTGCTTGCTTTGCCTTCCACAGCATTTCCAGTCCTTCAGCATTTCCAATCTGCTTTGGGCGGGTTTCGAAGGTCCGGAGATGAGCAATGCGGTTTCCATCCTGCAGGCGGAGCCGTCTTCTTGTTGCCATGAAACACCCCGATTAGTCAACAAGGGTTCATTAGTTCGTTAGTTCTGGATTCCCGTTTGAGAGACGCCTCTCTGAGGGTGCGGGCGAAAGGTGGTCTTGGGAGTCTTCACAGGCTTCAGGACCCCTGCTTCATCAGCTTCACATTTGATTTTCTCAGACCGAGTGTATCATTAGCCCGAACCCTTCAATGATTCAAGTTGCCGAGTGTCGCTGAATCTGCGAGGCTCAACCACCCACACGTGGAGTAGTTCACAACAATACCACCAAAATGCCAGACCCCATGGCTCCAGATCCTGAGCAGTGCCTTTTTATTATTATTCTATTTTTGTTTTGGGCCCACTCGAGTTTTTTTTTGCATTTCTTAGAACAGTGGAAACATCCTCAAGCTTCCCAAAAACAGACAACGACTCCAAATTGCCAGAGCCCGTGGCTCCAGGTCCTGAGCTACGTGCAACGAAATCCTTGAGTTTCGCAAAAAAAGGGGGAGACATATCAGTCTATCAGTTGCATTTTCTACATCAAGTCCGACTTTAAATATGCACACCTTTCCAATTAAGATTTTCATTAGTCCGTATTAGTATTCAGTCTTCAAATATGCTTTAATCAGGACATCGATTAGATGAGTTTGCGTTTGTATTACATTAACAGAAATGACATTGAAGTCTCCTTGGGTTTCTATAGGTTTCTCGCTCTTCAAAGGGGCAGGCTAATTTGAAGAAACTACAAAACATTCCTTCTTTTTTACACTCCAAGTAGAATCTAGTCAACTTCAGATTAAAGCATATGTTGGCAAATAATGCCCATTTAAGCTTAGCTCATCAAATCTCATCAAACTCCTTCTAATTGGAATGTCCTTATGTATTGAAATCCTTGTTTCATTTTATTTCTAATTGGATCTTAATCAAACACGTATTTGGAAAGGAGCTCCCATGTAATTGTAATGTAAGAGAAATAAGGCTATTTCATTGGTTTCAAAAACGAGACCGATCTGCAGCAATGCCCAAGATCTTGAAACACGATAAGTTGAGCAACACGAAGCACGGGCAATGCTCATCTTAGACTTGGGGTTCGACCACAATTGCGCACGAGGCTGTGCAAAAGGCATCCAATGCATCACCAGATTTTGCTGGAAAACCTCCAGAGTCTGTCAGCTGACATCGATCAAATGATTAGCACGCGAAGCTAATGCTTTTGTCATTGGCCGTTTTCAGCAACCATGCACCACGTTTTGGTTTGGCCGAGAAGCCTCGTGAAGCCCGAGGGACGAAGGCAGCTAACTCGGTGTTCAGGATATTTGTTCATATTTATTTATTTATATATGTTTATATATATATATATATACATGCTCCATTCCCTCGTGCCTTGCACAGCCCAAAGGGGGGAACCAAAAGCGGGCCATTTGGAAACGTGCAAGTGGCAAGCCCGAGAGTCTTCTGAAGGGTGCAACAAAGCCAACTATAGATTGGCCAGCCAATCACTTGGGCCGAAATGACAGAGAGATGGCTATGAGCGAAAGTTTTCGCACACACATCGGCTCCGGAAGGCCTTGAAACTGTGGTACAACAAATACGTGCATTGCGTGAGGACAACATTATTTAGGAACGTTGATGACAGTGAGAGTTCAGGGATTTGGCTGGGTTATCTCCGATCACTCTTTAATTTGGAGTTAGAGATCGAACCCCTGTCGAGGACAGCCAGCCGTGGCGTTGGGCGATCTGTTGGCTCAATACTTTTTGCAGCGATTCTTTCCACCTTTGCCCGCTGCTTTCAACCGTTTGGACTTTGGTTTGGACCCAAAAACCATCCTGGCTCAAGATCAACTCGAGATCCTCGCCGCTCGCCCATTCCCTGGCCCTCGCCCCGCTGCTGAACATGGCGACCCCTGAGTATGACTACCTCTTCAAGCTCCTGCTGATCGGGGACTCGGGGGTGGGCAAGAGTTGCCTCCTGCTCCGATTTGCGGACGACACCTACACAGAGAGCTACATCAGCACCTTGGGCTCAAGATGAGGTTTGTGGTCAGCTGTTTGTTACCCCTTTTTAGTGTTTGTCTCTTATATAAGTGTTTCGAAATCATGTCCTTGTTTTACACATGTTGTTCATGCTTGTGACTTAATTTGATTGGGTGATGTAAGAATAATGTTTGATCAAGGTAGCGAAACTAGCAGCCAGGAAATCAAGTCAAAGTGGCGAGAACATCCAAAAGTCGCTCTGCTTTTTGTGGTGATGATGTATTATTTGAGGTTTAGGCAAACAGTGACCTCATTTCATTCTTTGCAATGCTAAACTTCCACCAAGAATGGATGAGGGGTTGAACAAAGAAAACTGAAAGAGGGTTCCTGGCAGGCACCATTGGGGTGGACTTCAAAATTCGCACCCTGGAGCAGGCGCGCAGATCTCGGGTCCCTGTTAGGCGAAGTTTGAAGGTGGGGAGTGCGAGCAAACCGCGGCAACCAGCAAGGCTGTACCCTTACAGGAACAAGCACGGCTTGGTGCACTCAAACAAGAGGGCAGATGATAGCAATGCTCATAGTAGACCTGCATAGGCCTTCATAGCCATTGTTGAACTCAAACGAACAGGTCAATAGGTCCGCACCTACGTGGGAAAAAGCCAGTCGGCCTCGTTTCAATAGCCGCTAGGAAGGCCACGTTTGGCTCGACTCCAGCAAGACGCGTTTCGTCTGTCAGCCTTGGATGCGATGGGCTTGAAGCGAGGTCTGTGCCAAAGATCAATCCATCAATTCGGGGTCACCTCACACTCCAAATACCCATTCCCGACCGAAAAAAGGGCAGGTAGCTACCTTAAATAAGCCGTGGCTTGCAATGTTGGGAGGTATATGTGCTCGGGTGGGAGGGATCCAACACTAAGGAACCCTCTTCTAAAAGTGTTTTAAAGAGGAAGCCCAAAGGATCTGGAATCTTTGGCGGCTGGTTTTCAAGGAGAACATCAATGACATCCTCATGTCTTTTGGTTCGGCCCCCTAGAAGGCAACCCATGTTTTCCCAAGGCTCCCAACAGGATGACTGAAAAACCCAGACAGCTCCTTTTTACCCATTTGCTTTTGCCTGAGTTCAGGGTTCCGATCAATTACCCCAATAAGGTTCCCGTGACCGCTGTCCTTCCCTGAATGTTCAATTGAGGGTCCGTAATTTTTGACCACCTCGGGTACCCATCTGGTTTTGGAAGCGACCATTTAGGAGTTCAATATCCCGTTGGACAGTTTCCCCTTTCATTTTCCATTTGGATCATGCCTGAAAATGGGGGAAACCCTTCAAACGACACCAAAACGGATTCGATTCGAGGACTCAAAGACGGTGAAGCTGCAGATCTGGGACACGGCTGGCCAGGAGCGCTTCCGCACCATCACCAGCTCCTATTATCGGGGCGCCCATGGCATCATTGTGGTCTACGACGTCACTGACAAGGACGGACGTCTCCAACCGGCCAAAACACACGGGTTAACGCAGGCAGCTTTTCGGAAAGCAGGGGACATTTTTTTTGATGGTGTTTCAAGGGAAGCCAAGCATGGTTGGGCGGGGGTCAATGAGTTCGTCACACATTTTTTGTCTGTTCCGCGTGGTTTGTGGGACTTCCTAAAGATCACCGGGCGCGCCTGACCAATAGCGGGTTTTGACTGGTTTTGACTAGCTCACAGACAAGGGCCTGGCCTGAGAGGCGTTCATACGGAGCCATGATTTCGACAGTTTCTGGGGGTTATGAAAGACAGCAACTCCTGTAGGGCCTTTTCCCTTAAACACACTACTCCAAGGGCAACTTTGAGAATGGCTAAATCATGAGGCAAGATAGAAAAGCAAGAGGTCAGATAGACCCACCTGGTCTCAAAGGCAATGGTAACTTGCGGTGTTTGGTGGTCAAGACAACTCTCGTAGGGCCTTGTAGGGATTTCTATTAAGGGAACCATAACCATGATCCACGCATGGGTTGGGGGGTTTTCCTAACACTCAACAAAGGTGCCCTGGAAAAAGGCAAAGCATATAAAGAGTTCTCATGAACATGACGCGAGGAGTCCTTTAACAACGTGAAGCACTGGGTCCAGGAGATCGACAAGTACGCAGCCGATGGGGTGAATAAGCTCTTGGTGGGCAATAAGTGCGACTTGTCCTCTAAGAAGCTTGGCCGATCTTCGTCTTTTTGCTGGTTTACCGGTTTGCCTATGTGAGCCTTTTTTTTTTGTTGGAGAGGGGGGCTATCCAAATGGGAATTGAGAGCCTTAGTTTGCGGGTTCCTAGTGGCCTCACGGTGGGTTTTGGTGACCTTGGGCTACATGGTCACTTTGGCTCGCATTTGCCTCCGGCCCTTGCCCAGGGCACAGGCTGCTCACTCAGGTCACTCGCCAACTAAGTGTTGACTCCGATTGCGGGAACCCAGGATCTTCTCGTGTGACTTCGGGCCAGCAGTGCCGCTTTTGTTTTACCAATGACAGCCTGGCAAAGTTCAAAAGAGTCTGTTCGAGTTTTTCCCCAACAGCTGAAAGCTAAGGGGTCTCAGCCCAGATAGGCTCCGGGGTGGTCCGGGGCGGCCCTGAGGTAAGGTTCCACCAGGGTTCCACCAGGGTTCCACCAGGGTTCCACCAGGGTTCCACCAGGGTTCCACGAGGTTCTGCAAGGGCTGCGGGGTGGTCCGGGGCGGGTTCCACCAGGGGGTTCCACCGGGGTTCCACCAGGGTTCCACCAGGGTTCCACGAAGTTCTGCAAGGGCTGTGGGGTGGTCCGGGGCGGGTTCCACCAAGGTTTCACCAGGGTTCCACGAAGCTCTGCAAGGGCTGCGGCGGTGGCCCGGGGCAGTCCTGAAGTAAGGTTCCACAAGTTCCACCAGGGTTCCACCAGGGTTCTACCAGGGTTCCACGAGGTTCTGCAAGGGCTGCGGGGTGGTCCGGGGCGGGTTCCACCAGGGTTCCACCAGGGTTCCACCAGGGTTCCACCAGGGTTCCACCAGGGTTCCACGAAGTTCTGCAAGGGCTGTGGGGTGGTCCGGGGCGGGTTCCACCAGGGTTCCAGCAGGGTTCCACCAGGGTTCCACCACAGTTCCACGAAGTTCTGCAAGGACTGCGGCGGTGGCCCGGGGCAGTCCTGAAGTAAGGTTCCACGAGTTCCACCAGGGTTCCACGAGGTTCTGCAACCGGGGCGGGTTCCACCAGGGTTCACCAGGGTTCCACCAACGGCTGGGGCAGTCCTGAAGTAAGGTTCCACCAGGGTTCCACCAAGGGTTCCACCAGGGTTCCACAAAGTTCTGCAAGGGCTGCGGGCGGGGTTCCAGCACAGTTTTATCAAGGGTTCCACCAGAGTTACCACTAGGGTTCCACGGGTTCTGCAAGGGGGGTTCCACCAGGTTTCCACACAAGGGTTCCATCAGCGCTCCACCAGGTTCTGCAAGGGCTGCGGGATAGTCCGGGGCGGGGATTGAGGTAAGAGGGTTACACTTTCACTGTACACCAGGGTTTTAGCAGGGTTTTTAGCAGGGTTCTACCAGGGTTCCACGAAGTTCCACAGGTTTCCACCAAGGTTCCACCAGAGTTCCACCCGGCCTCCACCAACCAGGTTCTGCAAGGGCTGCGGGGTAGAGAATTCCACCAGGGTTCCACCACAGTTCCACGAAGTTCTGCAAGGGCTGCGGCGGTGGCCCGGGGCAGTCCTGAAGTAAGGTTCCACGAGTTCCACCAGGGTTCCGCGAGGTTCTGCAACCGGGGCGGGTTCCACCAGATTTCACCAGGTTTCACCAACGGCTGGGGCAGTCCTGAAGTAAGGTTCCACCAGGGTTCCACCAAGGGTTCCACCAGGGTTCCACAAAGTTCTGCAAGGTCTGCGGGCCGGGTTCCAGCACAGTTTTATCAAGGGTTCCACCAGAGTGGCGGAACACTAAGCAAAACCGAAAGTCAATGGTTTGAGCACACTTTCACTGTACACCAGAGTTTTAGCAGGGTTCCACCAGGGTTCCACCAGGGTTCCACAAAGTTCCACAGGTTTCCACCAAGGGTTCCACCAGAGTTCCACCCGGCTTCCACCAACCAGGGTTCCATTAGGTTCTGCAAGGGCTGCGGGTGGTCCGGGGCGGGGTTGAGGTAAGGTTCCACGACAGTTCAACTAGGGTTCTATCAGGGTTTCACGAGGGTTTGCTCATGGGCGGAACAGTAAGCAAAACCTAAACTCAATGGTTTTCAGCACACTTTCACTGCATACACTTGCCCACAGGGTCAGGGCACAGGGTTCCAAAACAGTTCCACAAGACGGACTTCACAAGATTTCCACAGAGCAGTCCTGAGGTAAGGTTCCACAAGCGTTCTCCACGGGTTCCACGAGCAGCGTTTGGAGATTCCCAGCTCTTGGTCAGGCCCCGATTGGGCCGTGGACGATCGGGGCCCGATGTGCCTCAACAGCTAAAGCGACACCCTAAGCAAGACCGGCTGTGCGCTGCCCAGGCCCCGGTCGGGCCTGGAGGGCCGTCAGGCCCCGATCGGGGCCCGACGGCGCAATCGGGCTGCAACGGGGACGATCGCGTGCATGTGCCTTAACAGCTATAAGCAACATCCTAAGCAAAGCTGTGCGCTATGATTGGCGGCTTGGATTGGTGGTTTGCTCCCGGGCCGCAGTCGCGCCCCGATTGCTGCGTGGGCCCGATCGGGGCCCGACGGCTGTAAAGCAGCATCTAAAGCAAAACCGTTTGCTCCCCGCTGTCGGGCGCCATCGGGCCCCGATCGGGGCCCGACGGCGCAATCGGGCCCCGATCGGGGCGACGGCCGTACCTGTAGCAGCTAAAGCAGCATCCAAAGCAAAAGGCTGTGCGCTATGATTGGTGGCTTGCATTGGTGGTTTGCTCCCTGCCCCGGCCGGGCCGATTGGGCCGTCGGGCCCTGATTGCTTAGCCGGCTGGCGAATGTTGACCAGGTTATAAACGTTTAGTCTCGGCTAAGTTGGGTTATAAGGCTGCTAAACTCCTTGGCAAACGAGATAAGCTGGTCAAACCTAAATAAGGTTTATAAGTCGTTTCTAAGGTTTACCAGAATCTATCTTCGGATTATAGGAGATATGACACGCTTTATAACCCCCTCCCGGGCCCCGGTCGAACACCGATTGCAGCGTGGTGTAAAGCAGCGTCTAAAGCAAAACCGGCGGCGCGCTGTGACTGGTGGCTTGGATTGGTGGCTTGCTCCCGTGGTTTGCTGGGCCCCGATTGGGGCCCGTCGAGCCCCGATCGGGGCCTGATGGCGCTGTCAGGCCCCGATCGAGGCCCGTCGGCTTGCACCTTTTTTCAGTTAAGGCGGCGTCCCAAGCAAAAGCGGCAGCGCGCTATGATTGGTGGCTTGGATTTGTGGCTTGTCTGAAGCTCTTCACTGTCAAGTCTTTTGCTAGTCTCGAACCTCAAGAACAGAAGCATTTAACCGCAGCCTTTCTTTCAACAAGGTGTCCAGAGAATAGCTTCGGAAGCGCATGAAAAGCAGCTTGTTGGACACCTATTTCAGGACATGTTTCCATGGCCCTTCGCAGAGTCTCCAGTTCATGCGGCGACTGCTTTTCCCCAACAGCTGACAGCGATGGGGTCTCTGCCCAGGTGGGCTCCGGGGGTGGTCTGGGGCGGCTCTGAGGAAGTTTCCACAAGAATTCTGCGAGAGTCCGGTGCAAGGTTAATAGGGCGGTTCCAAGGAGGGTTTCAGGAGGGTTCACATAAAAAAATGAAAAAATATCAATGTTCGGAGATATACCAAATTCAATTGAAAATTAGATTTTTATCAAATATTTTATATGCTATTAACATGTTTTGAATAATTTTTGAATTATGTCAAGGAGTTGTTTCTATTTATCAACATATATTATACAAAAAACATAAAAATGAAAACATATCAATGTTCGGAGATATACCAAATTCAATTGGGGTTCTGGAGGGTGTGGCGCTGTTGGGGATATCGCCAGAGCTTATTTCGTACTTGATGTTATAAAGTTTACCTCAGTTCTACTACGGGCTATCCACTTCGTGCAGTTCCTCACCACCTGTTCGTGTCCGGCCACTCTTGTTTGCCAGTCATCCTCTTCCCGAACTTGCGGCGTGTAGGGGGCCTCTTCGTGTTGTTGCGCTTGGCCTTTTTGCGGGATGCTTTTGGTACTGTGTTTTCCTTGTCTTGTTGATCCTTCTGTCCTGTACCTCGACTTCGCCTGTTTTCCCCCAACAGCTGAAAGCTTTGGACCTACGTCTGTTTTCTGGGACCTTCATGGACCCTTACCTTGCAGAACCTGGTGCAACCCTGGTATGAACCCTCGTGGAACCTTATACTTCAACCACGGACCACCCCGCAAACAGACCCTCGTGGAACCTTACCTCAAACCACCCCGGACCACCCCGCAGCCCTTGAACAAGGTGGTGGAACGTGGTGGAACCTTCATGGAACCTTACCTTCCAAAACGTGGAACCTTACCCCAAACCACCCCGGACCACCCCGCAGCCCTTCATGGAACCCTGGTGGAACGGTGGAGGGCTCAGAAGATCGCCTTGCTCACGGGCGGAACACTAAGCAAAACCGAAATCAATGGTTTTCAGCAAGCTTTCACTGTTTTGTCACTTGCTCACTTGCTCAGCGGCCCGAAATGTTGGCTTTGTGGCAAATCAGATCACGTTGCTGCGGGACTCACGGTGCAAGCAGAGTACATGCTTCCAAGAATTCCACTAAGGTTCCAAAAACGCTTCCACCAGGTTCTGCAAAACCTATGGGGCAGCCCTGAGGAAAGGCTCCAACAAAGTTTCACGCTGAGGTCCACGAGATTTCACAAGGACGGTTTGAGAGGTTCACCGGGCCCAGGTCGGGGCCCGATTGCACCGTCGGGGCCCGATTGCACCGTCGGGGCCCGATCGGCCCCGATTGCGCACTCACGCCCCAATGGGGCCCGACTCAGTCGGGCCCCGTCAACTGTACCAAGCTGGCATCGCCTAGCTTTGCTAGATACAGTTGTAAGGCTGCATCCTAAGCAAAGCCGGCGTTAGCTATAATATGCTGGGGCTGCACCACGGGACCATCGGGACGATCGGGCCCCGATTGCACCGTCGGGCCTCGATCGGGCCCCGATTGCACCGCCGGGCCCCGAACGGGCCCCAATTGCGCCGTCGGGCCCCGATCAGGGCGCGATTGCGCTGTCACTCTTAGCTTTGGTTTATAAAGTTACATCCGGCATCCTCAGCAACACCGGCGGTGAGGTGAATTCCGGGGCGTTCCGCAAGGATTCTGGGAGGGTGTGGTGCTGTTGGGGATATCGCCTGAGCTTATTATTTGTCCGCGCGACCGTTTGCACGGATCGGCGTGATTGAATGTGCACTGGGATTCTGGCACCGAGTTGCCTGCGTCGAGAGCGACGCGCCCCAAAACTTGTACAGAGCAACTTGCAGAGCAGAGAAAGTTGCGCGGAGAAGCTTGTGCAGAGCACTTACACAGAGCAACATGGGCTGAGAGCTCGCCCAGAGAAGCAGCTTTGCGAAGCGAAGCTTGCACAGACAGCATGCGCAAAGAAACCCGCAACTTGCGTAGAAACACCTGAGAAAATTGAGCCGATAGCTTGTGGATAGCGACTTGCGCAGAGAATGGGCAGAGAAGGTTGAATGGAGATCTTGCGCGCAGAAAGTTGCAGAAAGATTCTTGCTGGTAGGACTCGAAGATTTGCAACACTGAAGCATTATCAGAGAAGGACAGACAAAACCATGTTTTGGCAGCTTGAAAAAATAGAGCGGCAGAGCCGCAGCGCCTTGCAAGCGCATGTAAACACATTGGTGCCTGAAGCCAGCGCTCACACTACGTTATGCTTGCGGACCACCCATGGTTCTAGTTTTTGGGCAGCAGTGTGCCCAAGATTTAGACACAGATGCAACTATACCCGTCTCATACGCCCCAGCAGGCCCCCACCTGCTGGAGCGTTTTGTTGATCATCAACAAGTTGAATGAGTTTCAAACATTCGTAACCATCGACTCGCATCCGTCTTGCTTTGACCTGATTTTCAACACCTGTCCACCCTTTTCTCCTCTAGAACTCTCACATTGTTTCAATATACTTGACTTTATGCTTGACATATTTGTTTCTCCCTTTTTGCCCCTCCTTTCCCATTCCCCATGTTTTCTGGGTTGGGCCGGTTCCCTGGACTCGAGGAAGGTGGTGTCCTACGACGAGGCCAAAGAGCTGGCGGACTCGCTGGGGATCCAATTCATGGAGACCAGCGCCAAGAACGCCCACAACGTGGAGCAGGCCTTCTCCAGTGGGTAGCGGGCGGTGATAAAAGGCGATCCCGTTGTTTAGTAGCCTTTCTAAACAAGCAAGAACTACATTCGTTGCGCTGGTACATGTTGGTTGTGATACCCTTGCAGTGGCTTCGGGCTGGCACAAATGCAACGAGTGTTTCTGATGCCAAGTTGGACATCATAGCCGTATGTAGTTTCACAACCTGTTTCCAACAATGATGGAAGCTGACTTCTATGGAAACCTAGAGCCTTGACAAGGGGGTAGTGGACACTTTAGCACTTTGTCTGTCATAGGGGCACATGAAACTTGCCTCCCCTCAAATCACCTTTGTCTTATCACCTTACTTGTCACCCCATAAATCCGGGGTCCACATTTGTTGAATTTTTGCTACTTGCGAGCTGGTTTGCGCGGACATCATCTTAGATGATAGAGCCTGGATAAATCCCCGCACCGTGGGGTATGGTTTCCCCGCAAATCGCTACAAAGGTCCTAATACAACGCTGGGCTTCACGCCTTCCCCCTTAATTTTTACATGGGGGCCCAACGTGCATATTTAGATAGCAGTTTGAACACGGGTTCCCTTGTGCTAGGCCTTCCAGAGCATGGCCCGGGAGATCAAGCAGCGAGTGGCCTCCCAGCCCGCCGCTGGGACCAGAGGCGGCGGCGGTGGCGGCGGCACCACACTGGGCGCGGGACGTCCAGTGCAGGGCGGGTGCTGCAAGTGAGCCGAACGGAGGCGTCAAAAGGGGAGACAACTGAGACAACCACACATTCGTCTATGTCACTTATACTTTCCACGTCGTTGGGTTTTCTTCGCGATGCTAAGTTGACGTGCTCCTGTCTGGCAAGGAGACGACTTGTGATGTCCGGTGGCACACCGACGTCAATTCGCTGGCCGCGCTCACCGAAATTCGGTGCAGTTGGTGAGTGGCCTTCAGCGCCGAGTGGAAAGCCACGGGCGTGGTGTTAGGGCATTTTCAGGGAGGTATGGGGGTTACATACCAAGGGGTATTGCTTCAATAGGACCTACCCCAGTAAAGGGTATATAGCCTTCCACACCTTCACCTGAAAATGCCCTTGAGTGCGTGTTGATTTTGCAGAGTGCCTGCAGGCCTTGCAACGGGCCAGCTTCCGATGCATGGACCAAGAGACTTGCGCAACGTAACAAGTTCGCATTCTGCCCAAAGATTTGTCCGTGTTTTTTCCCATCGCCCTTTTCTTCTTTAAATCAAATTACATATTTGCACAAGTGCCTATGATTTACCAGTGAGAATCAAGGAAATCCTAAGCAATGGACCTTCATGGCTGAGCTCGTTTTAGTCCCTGCTCGCTCCAATTAGTGCACAGATGCCCCCCTCAACCCCTCCAACAACGACAATGATTTTCTAGAAGTTTCGTTTTTGCGGTGTTTGGGGTTAGAACGTTTCACGCGCTCTTTGTGGGTGTTCAACTTTTTGCAGCCTTTGCGGGCTGCTGTGGCTTTTTCGCGGGCATGTTGCGGCCGTTTGCGGGCGTTTGCGGCAGTTTTAGGGTCCAGGCTTGAACGGCAGCTTTGCAGTCCAGATTGGCATACGAGATGATCAAAGTCTTTGGGCGTGCCTGGTTTCCTTTGGTTTTCCGGACAGACCCAAATATATGATTTCCGATGTCAGCAGAGTTTGGACGATCCCACATGGAGGGGCCGCAACTGGGCACCTGGCCAGGGTAGGATTGATCAACCAACAAGGGAACTTAGAAGCCTCTCAGAGGTCCCTTAAGACGGGTTGTGAACAGTTAGAGAGCGTGTGCAAACAAAAGACTGATCTGCCATTGCCACGCTGGAGTGTCTCGGACATTGTCAACAGTAACCCACATGGGGGGGAGAGGCATTTTGAGACGCCAGTGACTGTGCTTCTGGAATTGAATAGCCATGTGAATGGTGTAGGAGTTCCTGCAAGGGTATCCTTATTCAGCAATTTACCGTCCTGATTCATTTGTTGTTCAACGCCACACAAGTTTCCTGAAGGCTTGCTCACTTTGCTTGTTTGTTTGAGAACTTCATGATGCGAGCCAAAGCCATGCTCTTGGTTTTGAGGCCTCTGCTCCTGCGCCCGTACAGGAGTACATCCAGAGCTGCTCGGATTTCCCTCCGCACGCGCGCATTCTGACGCCCGGGTCACGGGCACTGGGAATCTGGACGGCCCTTTCGCTTTTTTTGCTTTCTGGTTTTACCGAAATGACCTTGAATGTTTTTTGGACAATTGTGAAACAACCTCGCTGCTTCCCGCTTTTTGCGGGAAGTCAAAGACCAATAGTTGGACGTTTCTGAACTGAGTTCCTGAATATTGGGGAACCTCTCGATCTTGTCTGACTTGCCCGACCTACGCACCTTAGGTGAACTTGCCCCGTTTTCCAACTTGCCCAATGAAAATCAAGCGATACAACTACCTAGCAACCAGGACCAAGCAGCAAACACAAAGGCAACCAGACGGGGTGGAACCGTTTTCGCACAAGGTGGAGCTTTGAGAAGCGCCTCCAAGAAGATTCCTTGCTGCAGCCGGGAGCCACAAGCTGATTGCAATGCTCTTGGCTTTTTGGTAGGGACATGTAGGGAATTTGGAGTCTTGTTGTCTTGTTTGATTACTTGGGGTGGAACCCCAAAGCCCTTTAGATCCTCTTAGCGGGGATCCAGATCTGAATCTGAAAGTTGTTGATAGCTCTGCGTTTGCATATGGAGCCTTTCCGAACACAAGCAGATGACACCTAACAATAGGAATTCTTGCGTGGTACTCCCCACCCCAAAAGCACTAAGCGGTCGGCAAAGAATTCACTCAGGTTCCGCGCCACTGTGTCCTTCGTGTACAAGCAGGCGCGCTTGCTCGCATGTGCGGGCGCTCGGCAAGTGGGATACTGTTCGCACTTGGCGGGTTCGACAGGTTTGACCGATTGGTGGACATGTCTGTTTGGGGACAGCGTGTGGCCTACCAGGCACCTGGCTTGTGCATCGAGTCACGCTTGGTTCCTGGTCCAAAGCCCCTGTTTTCACTTGGCTCTCATGTTGTTTCCAAGCGCAAGAAGGACCACCAGACCAATGTGCGGAATTCTACGTGGCTTCTTGTTGCCCGGCAGCCCTCGCTTCGGGTTGTCTCACAGGAAGCTAAATTGGACCATCTTCGGGGTCCCCCTGTTTCACGTGCCATCAAAGCACCAGCTTCCTGAAGCAGAAGGCCCAGGCTCCAACCACAAGGGTCCCTAGGCGCACAGCCATGCAAATGCCTTTGTCAGGTTCCTCACTTCTTCCGCGGCAGCTGGCAAACTTCCAAGAAGAAGGCGGCTGACGAGGGTATTTTGATCCTGAACCATTGGACTTCTCTGCGCAGCATTTCTTCCTTTCGGATGTTGTTTGCTTTTGCCAACCTTCCACCTTTGCCTTTTGGAAAGGCAGTTTTCCAAACGTTTACTCCTAAACTAGCATGGGGTTTCTGCACCTGACTCTTCAGGACAAGTCTTTGCAAGTCACTTTAACCACAGCCCGAGGGACGTTCAGAGAGCTTCTTCGCTCCGTCTGGTAGGCGCAGCGAGATACCGCCTGCCACTGAGAAAAGGGGTGGCTTTGGATAATTTTTGCCCGGCCCTTCTTGAGACGTCACCGACCCCACAGCCCGACGGAGATACACACATAGGAACGCTGAGGAGGCCCGAAAGACCCAAGGAAAGAATCATATGCCTGGACAAGTTGCCGAACAAGCTGCCAAATGAGGCTGAATGACGTGAATCACGGCTGAGGGGCTGTTCACGGGTTCGGGCTGGTCCCCTGCCATGTATTGCCATGCTAAAGTATGCGGACCAGCCCCCCCGGTCTACAGCCGCAGCCAGCTATCTCACTAATTTTCAAGGTCTTATTTAGGCCCGGTGAAGGTTTTGAGGCGATTTTCGGAAAAGGCCCCTAAACAAGGCTGTGCCTAATGTGCCAAACACAGTCAGTACTTGAAGCCTTAGTTCGACTTGGGGAAAATGCCTAGGCAAGGGCTTGATGTTTTAGGGACAAAGCTCCACAAACGGCTTGCAGAGACTCTGACAGGTTCTTTGTTTGATCGGGCAAAGACCTAGAGAAGGCCCATCTAAAGGTTTTGGTTGCTTTGGGGATAAGGTCTGAAGAAGGTTTTCAACATTAATCAGCCCTTGAATGAGGCCTAGATAACGCTCAATTCAGGCCTTAAGAGCACTCTACACTTAGTGAGGTCCGGGGGGGGTGTCAGCCTCTTGTCCCGCTTTCATGCAGTCACATGGTGAAATGCTGGTGTCTCAAGACTTGGGACACTTCAATCCTGGGCAGCTTTTTGCTCAATGCGGCATGCGTTTGTTCATTTTCACCGCCAAAGAACTTTTGTTTGCTGACTTACCAGGGGCCCCCCAGGGGAAGGGACGCGTATGAGGCCACTTCTGGGAGCTGCTTCAATTTCCCGCATTGGACAGCCGCCCAAGGCTGAGCGAGTGAGGCGGCTCATGATGAAGGAAGAGCAAGCGCAAAGTGGTCACCCCAGCTGGGTGTGAGCTGACACGACCATTTGCCCGACAAATTGCAAATATCGACTTGGAGGGACAATTGGACATGAGTTCTCTTTTGGACAACTGTATGGCTGCCCCCAGCAGAAAGTGCAGGATCCCTCTTGGAGGCATGCCCAGCACGTATCTCGAGGTCATGTACTTACTTCCTGTCATAGTTGTGGCATGGGGCCAGCAGAAATCTACCAGCTCTGCATATGCAATATAGTAGCACAAGGGGGGGGGACTCCTCCAAATGGCTGGACGTTGGGTTTTGACATGCAGCCTTACCTGTAACTGGGATTCGTGATCTGCGCACGGGCACCAGGGTGTGGACTTCTCTTGTCTGAAGATTTCCGGGATCGGGGTCATCGCAACCTCCCCTTTAGTGCTTTTGGGAAGGACGGAAATTCAGAAAGCAACGGCAACCGGTGCCACTGGAAGGAAGCAAGCTGGAAAGCGATCATTGCTTATGGGTGCCCAAGTGGCCCAAGATTTGAAGTAGCTATTTGTGCTTGGTCCAGTTTGCCCAGTTTGGTGACATCAGTGACTTGTTGGCCGGACGGTTGGGGGTTCAGTTTTCCCTGGAGCGATCCATGCGTTGTTCCGAGGCTCTGCTGCCATGCTGCAGGTGCGAGCCTTTGCAACGGCAGAAACACCACCCTACTCCACTCTGTTAGAACCATCCCCATGCTGACAGGAGATGGTCTTTTTTGGGCATCGAGAGCAGTTTGGAGGGAGCGTTGCTTGGGGAAGCGAACAAAAATGCAACGTCTTGCCAGGTGGTGCAGCAGGAGGGCGCGAAGGGGGCAAGGGGGCGGTGGGGGTGAACAGATCGAGCTGATCAAGGCATTTTGTGCTTAAACTTGGACATGTCGTGCTGCACTCTTTGCATGCTGCAACGTAAAATAGCACCTGAGCACTTGGAGGACACTTTTCCACAATTTGCGAAGGATTGAGACACACTAGGCTCTTCTGGAAAGCACCAGTACGAGGGAGTAGTGCATATCATGCAGAAGGGCAGTGTTCTGCAGCCTTCTGGTGGCCTTGCCGGGCACTATTTGGTCTACGCTGGAAGCCCTTTTGTGCACTTCTTTCATGCCAATGTTTTCAAGTTCAGTAAAAAGTAATATTTTTGTCAATCAGAAAAGCGGGCCTAAAGGCAAACTCTTGGCCGTGCAGGAAGTGCAATGTCTCCTAGAGCAGCCCGAAAGGCAGCGCTCGATCCGCGTGGGGGAGGATTGGAGGTGATTTGCGTTGGAAAGCAAGCAGTTTCTGCTAAGAAACCAACAGGCGGGATGCCACCAACCACTGGGGGGTCCAGCAATCAGGGGTCACAGCTGTGGTACTCTTGGCTTTGAATGGCACCGAGCCCCGATTTTGGGTTTTGCTTGTCACATGCCCGTTGGAATCGAGCCCGAAAACCTCCAAGGCATTACTGTCTTCTCCTTGAACAGAAACGAATGGTCTTGTGCACATCTGTGTGGAGAAGCACAGGTTGACAAAACGGGTGACTTTCTTGTTGGGGAGCCTCTTTGAGTTGGTTTATGTAAATAGAAACCAAGGAGAAGCGACCTACGTTGCGGTTTCTTCTATTGAGAGACATACACGTATCAAGCCACTCAGGAGTCTGTTAGGAAACTTTTGGACCTGAGCTTGGGGTTTTGTCGTCGATGCACCCGACATGTTGCACGTTGAAAGGGGTTGTGCCCACAAAGGTCAGCGCTGTTGCCAACCTGACGTGTGGCCAGGAAAGATACTCTCGAATGCAATCTCTAATAGCGAGACCGACAAGAAGCTGAGCATAAACAGATCAGCCCTTTGTTCAGATGCGGCCGCAAAGTCACCCTCCCATGCAAGTACGCATGCACACATGCATCGCAGGTTTCGGGGCGAACACGTGGCCGTGGAGATAGAGGAGCGTCTATCAGAGACCACCAGTCAAGTGTTATTTGGGTGCTTTTGAATTCGGAGACCCCGAAACGATTGGTTTCCGTAACACAACCATCTTTAGATTCTAGATTTAGAACTCCTGTTGTTTGGCTGGCTTGTTCCTCGGCCCATTCACTCGTCTGGGAGTTTGGGGGGGGGGGGGGGGGGGCGAGGCTATGATGATAGTATAGTTATCATCGTCATCATCACCATCATCATGATCATCATCTCTTTTGCTACCCTGATAGGTATCATCATGATGATGTGTGATGCAAAGGATGCTACGATGATAGTTATCATCATCATGATGGTGATCATCATCATCATCACCATCATCATCCCTTTCTTTGCTTGTATATACATTTCAGTATGACACTAGACACTGATGGTGATGCTAAGGATGCCAAGCGGATAGCTATCATGATCATCATCTTTCTTTCTACCGTGATAGTTATTCTTGCCATGATGGTGATGCAAAGGATGCTATGACGATAGGTATCATCATCATGATGGTGATTCATCATCATCATCATTCCCAGCATCACAGTCATGCTCTTTTCCTTTTGTTCTATGTACATTTCAATAAAGATTGTTCTCTTGCTCTTGTCAACATGGGTGTGTCTCATAGTCATCCTAGACTTGTCCAACATCAGTACTGAAATGTATATATGAGAAAAGAAAGAGATTATCACCGTCATGACGATGATAACTATTATCATAGCATCTTTCGCATCGCGGGTGATGATGATGACGATGATGACTCTCATCATAGCATCCTTAGCATCACCATTGCTGAAATGCACACGTGAGAAAAGACAGAGAGGATGATTATGATGATGATGGTGATGATGATGCTGATGATGATGATGATCACCATCTGATGATGATAACTATCATCGTAGCATCTTTTGCATCACCATCATGATGATGACAACTATCATGGTAGCAAATGAATAATCATGATGCACATGTGGATATCAGATGCCAGTACCAACGAGCACCCCTCTATATTCCTGACAATGCCATGCTTCTTATTACCAGATTATGCACACTTTAGGGGGAAGAAAGGCTTTGTCGCGTGCCTCTGGTGAAATTCGGACATAGCGAACCTGATTTACAAACGTCACTTTGCATGGCCTGCGCGGTAGATCGAACCTCCGGTCCTGGAAAATAACATTTCTTTTCTTGAGGTGTCTCGAGTTTGGTAGGCTTGGGTAGACACACTTCATTCCTCAATTGAGCATGCCTCATGCCATTTTGGCTCAAGGACTTGACCCAAACTGGCTGAGGTATACATGTCTCTTTGCTGGTTAGCCTCATGTTTCAGGGGCATGGCATTGAATTGGCTGTGCACACTGACGAGGTGCTACTGGCGACAGCTCGCCACCAAACCTGGAGGGTTGGCATGTCGACCCGACGTAGCGTCTTGGCCCAGACAAGTGAGGCATCTGCAACGGTTTGGGCACGCTACCGCAGGAATGAGGAGCGGTTTGATCTCCTCTGCTTGAGGCGCATCGCTCTACGAAAGTGCGGCCCGATGTTCTCCCGCTTCCTTTTGTGGGTGGACGGGGGAGGTGCATGGGGCATCCAGCGAGGAGCCCTCTTTTCGGCCGCGGCGCCAGCAACAATCGGGCCGAGCTGCGAGCCCTCTTTCTGATGTGGCGCCAGCGGCCGAGCTGTGTGAGCGCCATGGCTCAGAAGTACGGCATCTATGCTCGTCTGGTGGTGGAAGGAGATGCTTCATGGACCCCGACTCAGGTGTGGCTTCTTTTTGGTACAATGCCTGGAAGGGCTCGCGCGGCCGCGCGCACCCTCATGATTGCGTTCACCATGGCATGGCGGGCGGCTTTAGGAGGTGCGGCGGCCAGCGTTGAATGAGAAGAGTTCGTCGTGATGCCCCGACTCAATTGGCTGCAGGATGTGGAGGAACAGTCGATCAACGAGGTGTATGCGTGCCCACTGAGTGGTTGGCTCATCGGAGCTCCCTCAAGTAAGCCCACGTTCGCCCATGCCAGGGACTGGATTTGCGTTGGGCAACACGTCGCAGGTACCAGTTGCTCGCACCAAGAAGGATGGTACTGAACCGGCCTCTCAGCATGGAAAGTGCGCGTCTAAGGGCAAGTGCTCCGAGGCACACGGCGCGGCGCGACGAGCACGTCTGCGTGAACCGCCCGGCAATGGGCAAAGGACTGCGTGGCATCACCAAGAAGAAGAAGGGGGCTTGACGGCGCCTCGACTGGTCGGACTCAGATGACTTGCCGCAACCAGCCCAATGCCACATGGCAGGTTCTTGAGTTCCTGTTTTGTGGTTAGTAGGGTTTTGGATTGCTCTCACCAGTCGTACAGTGTGAAGCTGACCCTACTTCAGCTCTGAGGAGCATACCAAGGCATTATCCTCGAGAGACGAGGTTGGCTGAGCAGTAAAGGCAAATGATATGAAAAGGAGTGCGCCGCGTTTGAACCATTGGGTGGCTCAAAGTAGGAATGAAGCAACTCATTGTGATCCGTGAGCCGCGTATGAATTGGAGGCATCTACAGGGCAAGGATTGCAACCAGGCGCCTTTGTCCTGGTGTAGCGTCTTGGTGTGGAGTCATGGCCATTCTGGTTGTGCGTAAAGGCAGCAGCGCGCCGTCAAGGTATGGAGTTTCAATTCGAGCGACCATGACGCCCCAAATGCTAACTTTTGTTGGTGTTTATTTAAAGGAGACTCAACAGGAGACCAGAGACCTTGCTTGTCACTGTGCGCAAGCTCTCCGACCATTCGCCCTCCCGGCAAGGAGCGCTTGTCGCCGGAGAACGTGGAGGCAACGGGCTCGGTGCTTCTTTTTGAGAAGAGCTTCAGAAAAACCAGCCGACATGAAGTGGGAACGAGGGTCCGGTGTTCCTCTCGCAAGGTGCAGGAGTCTTGAATGCATGCTGGCATGGGCGCTGATTGTTCTGGTCATCAGTTGGACCTCAAAATGATCCCTGCTTGCCAAAGAGCAAAACCAGCGCCTGCAAGAAACGCAAGGTACGACTACTGAGGGGAGAAATCTTAGTTCTTATAGTTGTTGGATTCCTCTTTTGTAGGGGGATTCTGCAAAACAGATTGTGACCAGGTTTTTCCTCCAGGCCTTACATGATGGTTTCCCAGGATGCCAAAACGACAACATGTGAACCCCTGCGAGAGATGGCCACTTTGAAGGAAGGGATCGTATTTGAGCCTTTTCCTGTGAGGAAAGGAACCCCTCAAGAGTGGGGTGAGGGGATCCTTAATCAGGCATCATCATTATACCGGTGCCGCAAAAGAAACCAACCCAAAACCTGTAAGCGCTTGAATGCTTGGTTTGCCTCACCAGACGGGGCCTTCAGGGCAACCGGCGCCCGACTTGGCTGGTCAACGGTCAGGAGGTCCGCGCGTTGCTTTTGGTGTGCCTCGATGGGGTGCCGCGGCTTGCCTGCAACTGGCAGCGAGGGATCTGAGTGTTTCTGCTCGCCTGTGGCCGTTGAAGATGTTGCAACAAGTGATTGCTTGATGGGAACCAAGGATTAAGAAGCCTGTGGCTGATAAACTTGAAGGGGGTGCCACCCTTCTAGAGTTCAGGATCACCTTTATGGGAGTTTCACTCTGCTATTAATCGGCAAGGTGTGTCAGTCCGGGATCGACGTCAGGGAATCTGGTACTTTTGTCGGGGACTGTGTGGAGGAAACAGGCGGACAACACACCTGGCAGTTTTGGGCATTGTTTGTGGTTTGAGTGCATTTGGGTTGCTATGTTCTTGTCATGGGATGGCCGCCATAGCAACTGCTTCACAATCCTGGCTACTAGGTGCCTCAAGTTACCAACCACGGAAATTAAGCCACCTACTAACAGGGGTGGTCATGGCTCAGTAGTTTGTAGTTGTAATATGGTTGAATACCCACCAACGCCAACCACAAATGGACAGGAATGTAGGGAATTGTTTGTGGGGTCATTCCCATATTCGAGAGTAGAGGGGAAGCTCTCATTTTGGAGACTGGCTTTCTGCAGGGGCTGTGCATGTCTAGCTGAGGCTCACACATCGGTCCTTTTAGCTGCCTTTTCAACTTTTCCTGCACACGCGCAATGTGGCTGCAAATGCGAGGCATATCGAGTCAATTGAGGTAGATCCCCTTGTAATCATACCTGTATAATCATAGTCAGAAGCTACCATGCAGCTGAACTCTCTCATCCTGCTTCTTCACATCCAATCCCGATTTGCTCAGAACCCCACTAACATGAGCCATCCGTGCTGCCAGCATCACTAGCCTGGTCTTGCATGCGTATCACATCTCTACTCAGAAACCCTAGAGCTCTCCCGGCTATGTCAGCTGCTCTGGGTGAGGGCCTCTGTCAGATCCCGAAACCAAACAGAAGCCAACGGCCCCGAACCGAGGCACCGCTTCGCCGGGGCCTGGCTGAGCCCCGAGCAGGCGCTCCGGGACGCCGCGGAGCGGCTGCGGTGGTTCCTGGGCGCGGGCGCGCCTCGGATCGGCCGAGCACCGGGCCACTGGCCGCGTTTTCCCAGCCTGTGAAGACTTGGGAGCATTCGGATAGGATGCCGTTCTCGGGAGCTTGGAAGGAAGCATGTTTCGCGAGTCTGCCTTGTAAAAGAATCAGCGCTAGGGGCCGCAGAAGTTTCTTGTCAAATCAGCCTGCTGTTGGTGCATGGTGTTGGGTGGATAAATTTTGGCTGTTTTGAAGTGAACAGCGGCAGACAAGAACATTTGATGCCATCTCTTGCAGTGTTCGGCAAGACTCAGGACTCTGGACACGTGTGCCCCTAATTGGCGGGAAACGTGGCCAAAACTGAGGTAAAAGGGACTCAGAAATGGGGTCCAGACTCTCGAAAGACGGCATTGTGCCATGTTTCGACTTTCAACCGGGTCCAACGAAAACGGCTGACTAGAATCGCCGCTCTACTTGGCAACCCACCAACACGTTCCCCAAGTCAAAAGGCATTTCCTAAAATGAGAAATGGGCTTCCTTTGGATGACGTTTTACGTAAACTGAAAGGAACCCGATGTGGTCTTGGCGGCGCCCGAATTCGATTCAGTTAAGCAAATTTGCTTTGAACAACCAGTTGCAGGGGCCCCCCATTTCAAGGGTCACCTGAACAGATCAATCCAGAGTGGCTTAGACATGTGTTCGGACAATGTACTTGACATATTTTGTAGTTTTCATTCTGTTTTTGGTTCTGAACGGAGGCTGCAAACAAAGCACTTTGTGCTAGATTTCCTGCGCATTGTAAACCCTTGTAAGTTACAGTCAATCAGATGGTTTCCACACCCCTTGCAATAATGGAGACGGCACGCGTTACACCATCCAAATACCGGAATCCATCTCGGAATCGTGCAAGGGAACGCAGGAAGCCTTGTACTTGGCCCATTTGCGGTTTGTCACATCCCGCGTTCCGTTGCTTAGGACTTGTCTCTGTTCCGGGCCTCCCTGGCCACGGCGGCGGCCGGGGCGGAGCAGGCGCCCCCCGCGCAGCTGGTGGACAAGGACCTCGTTTGGTCGGATGGCAATTGGCCGATGTGACTGGCAAGGGGCTAAACTACTTGTCACAAACTTCCCCAAAAACACTCTCTGGCCTAAATTGGATTCGCACCTCAAGCAGGCAAGACAAGTCTAAGGGGAGGGTGGGGGGAGAATGATCCTTCAGGTTTCAAGTTGGTGGGAGGGGCTGTAAGAGCAATCAATCAGCAGCTATCACCTTACTAAATAACAACCAAATAGAAGAAACAGGGGGTAAGGGGCTGTTTTCCAAGACCGCAAACCCAACTCGCTTGGTTGCTTTCAGTATGTACAACATGCTGCCAGATCGGCTTGACAGTCGGCCCCTGACTTGGGCAAGCATCCTCTCCTTCTCGTGGCTCTGAACACGATTTTTTTTCAAGAAACCCACAGGCAGTGAGTTACTTTGCTGACGGGGATTAGCAGATTTTGGAAATTCAGGGCTCTCGCTCGCATTCAGATCTGCTCGCATTTTTAAGGATCCGCATATTTCAACCACACAACAGGCAATCCAGGAAGGCTATGTCGGCTGTTTGCGCATGGTTGATTCCCATTTGAATTGTAGAAGGCTCCTCGTGCACCTCACGATTTGCGGATTGCTGGCTTGCTTCAGATTTTGGAAGCTACTTGAGTCGGGATCACCGCATTTCATGCCTCGTTGCTCCACCGCATTTCATGCCTCGTTGCGGCAACGCCTCGAAGCATGGGTCCCTCACCAAGTTCCTCAATCGTCGCCTCAACAGCACCGCTGCCAGATCCACCACCGGGACTAGCTGCAGTTGACGCGGTTTCTTCCCATTTTCTCACCTGGCTTTTACCCCGCTTCGGGGTGCTGCCTCCATCTGCCAGGGCCCGCACCCAGCATGTTCTTCTCCACTTCGGCCCATTTGGCCTCAAATCCCAGCTTCCCAGCCTCGATCCCCGGCTCCTCCTTTGGCTTCATGGAGGTCCATCGCTTAAAGGGCCCAGGCCTGCATTCTCTTGGGAAATTGTGGAAGAGGGTTTGTGTTGTTTATTCGCCTGCAAAGTTTCTCATCCTCTTCGTTGAATCAGTGAAGGCAGGTTGGTGTCTGTGTCAGGTTAGGGGTGATCTGGGGATGGTTAGTGAATAGGAGACTCCCTCAGTGCCGCTGAAGAGCTGCTTGGCATGGTCACGAGCATGAGTCCTGTTCTGGATGAGGTCCATTGCGTCTGCGATGGCTGCAGACATGGTGATACTATACGATATCAAATTCGTACTACGAGTTGCGTTGGGGCAGGATTCCGGACTCAACACAGAAAACCAACCACAAAGCAAACCAAGGCAAAAGGCCAAGGACTGGCTTCGGTACAATAGAACATTGTCGTGGAGGACGATCAATCGTCGATTGGCAACGGCAGACAAAGCCTTTGTTGTCCGACATGGAGTGCTTTGTCCAGATCAAGCAAGTGGAATTCCGTCTTAATTTTCCAGGCCTGGAAGTGCCGTAGAACCCGCTTCAGATGACGAAAGGGTCTGTGCACTTCTTTGTTTGTTGGAGGCGGGCAGTTTGTCCTGGCCTTCGTTTGCGGCCAGGAGCTGGCAGATGACAGCCCTGGACAGGCGGAATGGGGCAGAGGGTGGAGGAGGGGAATGTGTGGCAGGCAGTTGGCCGGATGAAGGCGAACTGCCTTGTTTCTTGAATGCCCCGCAAGCTCATTCTGGGGTACGCCGACGAGAGCATCGTGGCTCGGTCTCCGGTGGGGCAGCGTTTGGAATTGTGGCGGATTTCGTAAGCCAGCTCTTTTCTTGCCCCCTGCTTCATATTCAGTTGGAATTCGCCGCACCCTTCTGCGGATGATGGAGCCCGCCATCCCCTCTGTGGATGTTGATTTGTTGCAGTGGCAGTATGTTGGGTTTGCCGCAAACGTAGGTTTCATCAGCCACAGGCGGGAATCGCTTGTTGGGCACAGTTTGCTGGACCAGCAACTTGGTTTTCTTGGGAAAAAAAACGGGGCTAGTTGGGGGTTGGAAGAGAAGGGTCCCACCCAGGTACAAGGGTTTGCATTCGACAGCTTCCTTCCTAAGAAAAGGGCCCTGTATGAGTGCAACTGTCGAACACCTAAAGAGGCGTCATAATATTTCCCCCAAACAGGGAATTGGTCACAAACCAATTTTGGGTCAGGGTTTGGAGACATTTTACATGATGTGGTGATTAAGCATGCAGTCAGCAAAAACGAAACAGAAATAAGTCAAAGCTCAACGCCTGTTGTCAGGGGTCAGCTCGAATCGTTCACATCCCCTTCCAGCAGGTGGCGGGGGAGAAAGCAGTGGAGGAGAAGACGATCTTGATGCAGGTGTGAGACCTTGGAAGTTTGCCTTTAAATCCAGGATGATCCTGAGAGCTTCTGCAGGGCGCTTTTGGGGAGAATGGAGCTTGGGGTTTGATAAGGGAGCTAAAGGGGTTTCAGGGAGGACTGGGTTGTCTTTTGAAGACCAGAAGGCGGTCTTTACAAAAGGCAACTTTTGCAATTGCTGGTGATGGATGTCTTAAATTAAGGGCGGTTGCATCTGAAAGACAAAGACACCCATTGCCCACTGAAGGTGGACGAAGCCTTTTGCAGGTGCTATCTTGCCCCAAGTGGCAGCACCCTTGTAGACCCTTCTCAGTTAGCAAGGAAGGTGCCCATCGTGAAACAACGGTCCCAGGACTAAAGGGCGCCCTTTGCACAGGGCGCTCCTCACATTGCTGACTCAACCTTCAATTGTTTGGCTACAAGATGGACTTCAGAACCCCCCTTAGCTTTTTTTGTTGTCACGTTCAGGGGGTCGAATTATCGTCCCAGGGAGGTCAAAAGGCAAATCCCATTCTAGGCAATTTTGGAAAAGGCTCCATCGTGGCTACCGTTTTTCGTGGTTGAACTGACCCCATGCACCCCCATGCCTCGAACCTAACAATGACCAAAGACAAAAACTCTTCGATCGACTGTCAGGTGCAGAATGCCTTGCAGAAGACCTTCTCCAAGGACGTTCAGTGAAACAGCTTGAGACTGCAAAGGGCATTTCCGGTGTTTTCAGACTGTGCGGTGATTTTTTTAAATACGGCGCAGACATCCTTTGGACTAGTGATGATACAAGAAGCACAATTCAGGCTGGTTGCGTTACTTCCTTGGTTTGAGAGCCCAGTCAAGTTGGATGATGGGATGGTGCATCTTGAGTCCCTCATTTAGGAGGCGTTGTAGCTCGGTGCTTGCCTGGTCAAAATTCCAATGGCATGCTCCACAGAAATAGCGGCAGGTTCCGGTCTTGATCTGAGATTGCTGTTGGAGCTCTCGAAACTTCAACAAAACCTGTCCTTTAACCGTAGAACGTCGTGGGAGGCTGGTGAACATCTCGTTGATGAGGTGCTTGTGACGAGCCGCCGACCTGCACATTCACTTGAGGCTCAGATATCCGAACTTTTTACGGGGGACTGCATGCCTCCAGTTCTCGACAGAAAATTGATTGCAGGGTGCAGGTGGACCAGACAAAGGGCCTTTGAGCACGTAAGTTCCCTCACTGATTTGGTGGACATGCACCAGACATAGGGGAAAAGACGAGGAACTCGCAGACCTTGTTCCAGTATTGTGATTTGGGGTTAGTGGCTTGAACAGGTGAGCCCAAGGAATTTTGGCAACCCCTCAAATGATGCGAGCATTTTTTTTTAAAGGGTAAGTGAAGGCTAGTATGGGGACAGTGCCAATCATGCATAGATGCGCATATCTGCTTGACTCAAATCAACCCCTTCTTGGACCCCCCTTTAGAAGGCGGCACAAAAATAATAATTCCAGTCACCAAACTGAAGTCACATTTTAAGCGCCCCGCCTTTGGTTGGGTCCCATTTTGTAAGAGGACACTCCGGCCGGCGAGAAGGTGTGGGCGCGGGCCAGAGTGAGCCAACAAACTTTGGCGGAGAGAGTAAAACGAGGAACCAAGTGGTCACCTGAAGAATCCAACTTTTTGTTTGGTAAGTCCGGCATCGTTTTTTTTTGGTGTCTGGAGATGCACTGCTTGCCTTTATCATTTGGTAAGTCAAAACCAGAAAGTCTTTGGGGCTGCGTCATTTCACGCAACCCTTTCTACGCGGGACCCACACGAGTCAATTGGATTTGGGCGCCAACCTGTTGGGATTAGGGATTATTTCAGGTTTGGCCTGTGATTTGCAATCTGTCGCCCAGATGGGAGTATGCACGTGTTCGGTTTATGATCTTTAGGATTGTTGGGGAAGTCATGAGCTAATGCCTTTGTAAGCTCTGAAGCGCAGTTCCACAGAACCCCAACCTCCCCCCCCGGTTAATTCGAGCAAAGTCATGTATAACGTGGCCCACTTCGCCCATCGTGGGCCATGAATTCAAGGTTACCTTCCAAGCAAGCCCAGTATGCAACGAAAACACGTAGAGTTCATGACCATCCTTACCAACCCCATATAGTAATACGGGAGCTTTGACCTTGGTGCATGTGAGCATGCTGAACGAAGACCCAGATGGACAGGGACCTCCCACAAAGAGCCCCCCTCAATCGGGTTTGTATGAACCTTGCTGGTGGATTCCTATCTTAAGAAAGACCCGTGCTTCTTCGGCAACTTTGATTTCTGATCAACACAAACCAAAGCCAGCAAAGGGGATAGCCTGAGGTCTGGAGCTACGAGCCCTCGAACGACCCGCAGCTCTTCAGGGCTGTGGCGGAGGCAGTTTAGTGGAGTCAGTAGGTTTCCAAAATATGTCCCCTGGCCTTTGAGCGACTTAGTTTGTTTCATCCCCAAGCCAAAGTGAACGTGGCCAGGGGTTACCCCCAAAGAAAGGAACCTCTTGAACACAAGGTTTGGTGAACCCCAATTGGAGGGATTAACCATTTGGTCGAGTTATATCCCCTGATGTTTGAGTTGCGGATGAAATCACTGGGCATGACAGCCCCTTTTTGGCCGAAGAAGGAAAAATAGCCCGCTGTTAGTTGAGTGGGTTATGAGCCCAACGTTTTTCTGTAGGCCCTCCTAAGGGCACGCCATGGCATCCTCGGCTGGGTCGGCGCAGACCGCTGATTCGCCGGAGACGGCGTTGGTGCCGTGGCAGCCAAGCCGCGAGGACGCGGTGCCGCTGGGGCCGCCGGTGGATTTGAATCCTTTTTGGTCTGAGAAGGCCAAGGAGGAGGCGCAGCTCAAGGCGCTTCGTCCGAAGGATTTGCCGGAGGTGGGGGAGGAACAGGGGTCGCTGGTAAGCCCGGGAGCGCTGCCAGGGGGCTCGATCTATCACACGGAGATCCCGGCGGGTGGCCTTGATGAGCTCCTCGGTGCCTTCAAGCAGGTCATCACGCAGAACCAGGCGCTCTGGCAAGAGATGAGGAATCGCAAGGAGCAGGTGCGTGAAGGCGGCGGAAGCAGGGCCATGAAGGAGTTGGGGGATGTGCCGTGGTCCTGGGATGGGGCCGGGGGTGGATCGTCCTGTTCCGGGTGGTGGAGTTGCCTCGGATCATGGGCGAGATCTTTTGGGTCTTCCTGGAGGAGATGGAGTTGGTGCTGGACCTCATCAGCGTGCAGTTGGTCGGGAAGGAGTCGCTGCGGAGTCGCGGGTTCTCCCTGGGCCGTCTGATGGACGTAATGGGGGACCCCGTGGAGTACCGGAGGAGGTTGCTGGGGCAGGCATTGCACCTTTGGTGTTGCGAGCCCGGCAGGGAGGACCTGAAGATCAGAGTGGGAACCAAACCCCAACGGCATTGGCGGGAGCCTATCCTCGGGAGCGTCGAGCAGATGATGCTCTTGGAGGGCTTCATCCTGGACAACCTCAAGGAGGAGAACCTGGTCGTGGAGGTGCGCATCGCGGAGGTGGGCATGTTCCAGGAGATCCTTCTGAAGGAGAAGGCGAGCTCGTTGGTGGTGGGGGACTGGTTGATGTTGCCCGGTGATGAAGGACCTCACTGTCAGCTCAGGAGCATGGTGGGATCAGGTGCTGGCAGAGGCCTGCGCGCAGTGGTTGCAGGCGGATCCTTTGCAGCGGCTTTACATTAGGCCGCGGGCGGTGGAAGATGATGGTGGTCGTTGGAGCCGGGTGGCTCAGCGGGCACAGGCTATGTTGGTGGCTGCTTTGCCACCGCTTGCGGAGCGAGCTGCAACGGCCTGGAGATTCTGTTCCGGGTGTTCACAAGGTACCAGCCAGGAAAGCTGGCGGAGAGATCGCAACTCCTCAGAGGCTTCAGAGGCTCGGTTGAGCCGCGGGTGCCAACGACGCTGAGTGAGGTGGTGGACGGGGTGAGGACGTGGAAAAGGTGGCTTGCCCGGACCCGTGAGTTGAGGGCGGATGCTACGTTGCTGGTTCCCTGGATCGGTTCGTTGGGATGGTCACGAAGCATTCTGGCCAGGCGATGTTCACAATTAAATGCGGAGCAAGCTGGACTTCGGGTGGACGTTGCTCCGAGTTTGGAGGCGGTGGCGCAGCTGGCGGACGTCGTCCTGGCGGAAGGAGAAGCAGCGCTACATGGAGCTTCAACCTCATCTACTGCCACCGCAAAAGTCAAGGCGCTGGTGACCAAGGATGGAGGAGGTGGGGAGAAAGGTAAGGGCAGTCCAAAAGGAGGAGGGAAGGGCAAAGGCAAGGAGGCTACGGCAACTCCAGTGTGCCGGTTCTTCCTCACAGACGGTGGCTGCAAGAAGGGAGCGGATTGCACCTACAAGCACGAGTTCGACGGGGACAAGCGTGGACGCTGTTGGAATTGCGGAGGGACTTCGCATACCCGCAAGGACTGCCCGGTGAAGGTGCGGAAGCCTCGTGATGGAGATGGCGGAGCCAAGAACTTCAGCGAGAACGATGCAGATGGAAGTGGTGGTGAAGCAGTGCGGGGACTCATTCAGGAAGCAGCGGGATTGCTGAAGAGCTTGAGGGGCCCTGAGTTGAGGAGGATCCAAGTGAGCTCCCTAGAGGTCAAGAACAAGAGGGCGCTGCTTGATGGAGGAGCTACGCACAGCCTGAGGCAGTGTGTGTCGGCACAGGAGTGGGAGGAGGCTCGAGAGGTCGAGGTGCATTTGGCGCAGGGGACGGTCTCATTGCGGCTTATCCCATGGACAAGGACGTTGTTGACCACGGAGGAGGTCCAGCCCGTACCTGGTGGCTTTCGGCTGATTGATCAGCATGGGCGGACCTTGGACACCGCTTTGGAAGGAGGCTGTCCAACGGTAGATGAGAGCCTCGGGTTGGAGCTCATCAGGGAGTTGGAGCTGGAGGCGATGCGGTTGATGGCGCTGAGAGGAGAGCCGTTGACGGTGCAGGAGGAGGAGAAGGTTGGCCTGGAGATGGTCAAGTGGCTCGGAGGAGGTCATCCTCCACCTTTATTCGGGCCCGGACGCGAAGTTCTGGGAGAAGGAGTTGGAAACAGCAGACAGGGTGGTGCTTTGCATTGATCTGGAGCTGGGAGAGGCCAGGATGTCGGAAAGGACAGCGTGATGGCCTACTTGATGGAGCTGTGCGCTTCGGGAAAGGTGAAGCAGATCTTGGCGTGTCGGACTATCTCAAGGATGAGGTTTGTGCAGCCGACAAGAGATGGAGAGGAGCGCTTTGGTCGTCATGGGCTTCCTCAGGTGCTGATGGACAAGGTGGATGGAGATACGGTTCTCTGGTTGAGGCCGATGCTGCTGTACATGGTGGCGGATGAGGCCAGTTCGTCCAAGGTCGGCTTCCTGGCGGAAAACCCACATCCGGAGCCCTATGTGGAAGGAGGTCAGAGAGCTGCAGAAGCTTGGGAGCGGTATCCTTCGTACTGGGCCTGGGACGAGTGGAAAAGGTTCAAGAAGGCCTACAAGATGAAGGAGTATCGCTTCGATCAGGGGCCGTTTGGCCACGCAAAGACAAAGCCTACAACGATAGGCACCAACATGGAGATGCTCGAGCAGCTGAACGGTGTTCGAGGAGGAGGATCGGATAAAGGTCCGCTGGGAAAGACCTTGGAAGAGCGGATGGCGGCTTCGAAGAAGTGGGGCCTGGGCGCCAGGGATGAAGAAGGCGATTGCCATGGCCGTTCGCATGGGCTTGGAGCAGGTGAAGCTGAAGGGGCTGAGTGCAGAGCAATGGAAGGCGCACTTGGCGAATGACCGCCTCCCGTTCCATCGGGGATGCCGCACGTGCCTGGAGGGAGCAGGAAAGGCGCGGTACCACCGAAGGGTGGTGAGCCCTGAGAGTTACACGCTGGCGATTGACCTGGCGGGGCCCTTCAAACCTGGACGAGATCAAGAAGGCGTGGGACGATTTTTCGTCGTCGGCACCTACACGGTTCCGGTGACCTGACAGGGACGAATGCTCATGCACTTGGCCCCGGAGCGCCTGGCGTGGCTGGAAGAGGAGACGTACCGGAGGCTGGAGGCGTGGCGAAGATGACCACTAAGCTACGCTATCGTGGACTACCTGTCCGGCGTGTGACAGAGCAGGCGAGTTCACGTCCAAGAGGGCCAAGAAATGGGCTATGGAACGCCTCATCATGCGGACGTTCACTGACGGCAGCTCATGGAAAATGAATGGGCGAGCCGAGGCGGAGGTGGGCTTCATCAAGAGGTTGACCAAGACGCTGCTCAAGGGCTCGGGCGTGGAAGAGAATCTATGGCCGTTGGCGGCCGGAGAACGAAGGTGGTCACAGCTCGAGGCCATGAACTACCCGGTCAAGCCTTTGAGGGCTTTCGGGAGCGTGGTGATGGCGAAGACCAAGGCCTGGAATCACCGATCCAAGGATTGGGAAGCAACCAGGGAGGCGGTGACCATCTTGGGGCCGGACGTCACTATGTTGGCATCTTCGGGAGGGTACTTCGTCCAGGGGGAGGATGGGAACTTCTTCCACACCACCGATGTGATTGAGACGGAGAAACCGCCGGAAGAGGGAGGGCCACCCGCTGGTGGTGCTGGAGCAGAAGATGGTTGGCCAGGAGGAGGTGGTCCAAGGAGGAGGATTACATCCAAAAGGCCACCCGCGCTGGAGGACCGAGAGTGGGAGGCGGATTTGAGGACGTTGGTGATGGAATGTCAGGCCCGGGGGAGGCACATGATGGAGGAGGAATGGCGTCTAGAAGAGGCATGGTGAAGAAGACCGTCGCGATGTTAACAGAAGAAGATGTCCGAGTTAAAACATGATTGGCGGCAATGCAGAGGGCTGAGGACTTGGACGCTGAGGAGACCTGTGCGAGAAAGGCAACAGAAGAAGATCTTTCTTCAGACCAAGACCTACGCCCTGGCAGATGTGAGGAAGGAAGTGGAGAAGTGGAGACCATCTATGGTAGAAGAGAGGGCGGCTTTGCTGAACTCGGGCGTGATCCGGGCCATTAATCAGCGGGAGGCCGAGGCGCTCAAGAAGGAGGCGCTGGAAAAGGGCATACCGTATGATCGGGTTCCGGGGAAGGCAGTGTTCACGAGGAAGGCTGCTACAGGACGGCGGAAATGCCGGGGGGTAGCGTGTGGCAACTTCATGTCAGAAAGGGCCGCGGCTGACACCTATGCCGGAGGCATTGACGCGTCACAGGTCAGGGCGATGGTGGCGGCTGGAGCGCAGAGAGGATGGACGTTGGCGGGGGTCGATGTGAAGACGGCTTTCTTGCAAGTGCCACCCGGCAGGTCCAAGGACATTGTGGTTGTCAACCCTCCAACCATCTTTCAGGAGTGCCAGATCACGGAGCCGGGCGAGCTTTGGGCGGTGGAGGGGTCCGTTTATGGATTGACTACGTCACCCAAGGATTGGGCAAACCACCGGGACGAGACCATGGGCGCGGTTAGCTGGGAGATGGAGGATGACGAGGGCACGTGGGCTTGCTGGTCAAGAAAACCAAGGAGGTGAATCTGTGGAGGATCAAGAGCAGTCGGCGTGGGCAAGAAGAGACGGTGGGCTACATGGCAGTCTACATCGACGACCTGTTGATCACTGGAGATCGCAGGGTGGTGGCGGCGACTCTGCTCAAGATCCGGCAGTTCTGCGGGTTTGAGTTTTCTCATGATGAGCGTGGGACCCGGATGCATCACGGCTGACCTACTGGACCGGCACCACATCGCCAAGGGCGGCACGTTGGGAGGAGTGGGGATTCCGGAGGAGGAAGGGCCCCCGAGCCCTGAAGATGTGCGGCAGGCGCAAGTCATCACTGGAGAGCTGTTGTGGCTTTCTTCGAGGACGAGGCCGGACAATACCTACGCGGTGGCCGTGATGGGTGAGAAGGTGCTGCAGTACCTGTGGAGGACGTCACGGGAAGGATTGCGGTACCAACGCCTTGGTGCTGGAAATTATGGGCCTGACCATCAACAGCATCGTGAGCGTCGACGAGATGCAGTGGAGGCCTACGCAGATGCTTCTTTTGGAGGTCATGAGCACAAGTCGATCTCGGGCTTGGCCGTGTACTACTCCGGCTGCCCCGGCTTCTGGGCTACAACGCGACAAGCGTGCATTGCGCTTAGTACGGCGGAGAGCGAGTTGGCGGCGCTCATTGAAGCCTGGACGGCTTTGAGGGGAGTTGGTGGCCTGGTAGAGGAATTGGAGGAGAAGCCCGCGGAGCTTAGGCTCTACAGCGACAGTAGTGCGGCCTTGGCCATTATCAACGGGAGCTCGGGAAGCTGGAGAACAAGACATCTGAGGATGTGGGCTGCGGCGCTTTCAGAGGCGGTCAAGCTCGGTGATGTCCAGCTTCAACATGTTCCCGGGCAGAGTCTGGTCGCGGACAGCTGCACGAAGCAGCTGGGGGCATCGCCGTTTGGGCGCTTCAAGGAGTCATTGGGCTTCTTTGGTGGGGCAGTTGAGAGCGGTGAAAGCCCGGTGGAAGTTGTCAAGGTGAAGAAGATGGGATTGCTGGTGGTGGCCTCTACGTGCGTGGAGCTGGCAGAGGCGAAGGAGGTGGACCTTGAAGATGAAGGGGGTGGCTACTGGTGGCTTGTGGTGATCGTCGCCGTGGTCGTCTTGCTGAAGTTGGTCAGGGAGCTGGGGGTGGTGGCGCTGCGGAACTGCTTGCGAAAAGAGGAAGAGCTGCGGTTCCAGAGGATCTGTGCGGAAGCGGTGATGCCGGAAAGGTCGACGGAGAGCTCAGCCGGGGTGAACCTTTTCGCGGTGAATAGAGTGGTGGTGCCAGCGGAGAGTTACACGTTGGTGAGGACGGGCGTAAAGGCACAGCTGCCTCAAGGAACGTGCGGGAGGATCACGACGGTGGCCAGCCTGGCTTTGAGAGGAGTTGAAACTGGGCCTGCGGTCATTGAACGCGACTTCAGCGGGGAGGTGAGGATTCTGGTCAGGAACCATGGACCCCAGGACTACGTCATCGAGCCGGAGGAGGCGGTAGCGCAATTGGTGCTGGAGAAGGTTTCCCTGGCCAAGATCAAGGAAGTGAAGGAGTTAGACGGGCCTGTGAAGAAGCAGAAAGAGGAGGTTTGTCCTTCAGTGAGATCGCTGGTGGTCGAGAAGGCCGGTGCTTCGTCAGGGAGATCGTCTATGAAATGGATGAAGCCGGAGGTGAAAGGCTTTGAGAAGGTTGGTGAGGGGTTGCGGCTACGAAAGGCCGCACCAGCCGGTGGTGGAGATGGTCCTCCGGAGGTGGCAGAGAGGCCGTCGCAGGATGAACCTGGTGAAGATGAGTGGGAGGTTGAGTTCCATGAAAATGAGATCAGACAATCCCGCATTCACATGGTGCCGCGCTACTGGGACTACATTCCGAGGCCTAGAGAGCTTCTACCCGGCATCAACTTTGAGGACCTGGACTACATCAGGATCTCCGGATGATGAGAACGGCATGACCTGGGAGCGGGTGGTCGAGAATTGGCAAGAAGAGCACTGGGAGAGGAGGACACCGTGGACGGTCTTCAAACTTCAGGGTCTTGAGGCGGCCCGAAGCCGGAGAGAGGGGATCGAGTTCAAGTGGTCCGGGACAAGAACCTCCTGGGAAGGTGGTGGATCTGGATCAAGGCCTTCGGGATCTTCCTTGGCGACTGGATCAGGAGCTGTTGGAACGGCTGGATCAGGGACATCGGCATCTACCGGAGGTGGTGGCGGTGGCATTGGAGAGGCGGCGAACAAGCGGCCTAGGACGCATGGAGAGGAGATGAGCGGGTTGTGAGCGGTTCAGGTCAGAACGTGCTGGAGGTCATGCGGCGCGCTTTCTTTCAGGACCTTGAGGAGAGCGCGGTGATCATGCTGTCCCATCCGCCTAAAGGGGCACGGGACGAATGGATTGAGGCGCCTCTTCCTGGCCTTGGAGAGATCGGCATTCAGGTGCACAGGAAGGAGCGCGTGAAGCTCTTCGACGCGGAGAAGAAGGGCTACGAGGGGATGAAGCGCACCATTGCCTGGTCCGTTGGAGGAGGGCTGTGGGTGGACCTGTCGCCCCGGAAGGGGCGACGCGAGAAGTACGAGAAGCACAAGTGGGTGGGCTACACCATCTTCAAGAAGAGCTGAGGGGTTTGAGCAGGTTCTTTTTCCGGGTGAGACCCATAAAAGAAGGTGGAGCCCTGATGTTTGAGTTGCGGATGAAATCACTGGGCATGACAGCCCCTTTTTGGCCGAAGAAGGAAAATAGCCCGCAGGTTAGTTGAGTGAGATCGACCCACACCCAAAGGATTTCGGTGAATGTTTCTTTATTTGGGGCACTCCTTCACCCATTTGTTGGAGAGTAGGAAGGCCCTCACCTCATCACGAATCCAGACCTCGGGACAAACCTTTTGACTACCCTAGTGAACAAGTGATCGATAGATCATCTTAGAGAACCCTGGTTGACAAGCCCTCAACAACATTTCTCAGCACGCACCACCAGTTCTAGCTGGTGTCATCAACTACTTAGTTGGGTTGGCCATCCAAGCAGTGGGCAGAATGAGTTTCAACGACACAGTTGCCATGGATTCATCTCCAGGTCAAGATATTTTCCTTGTCCACGTGCGAGCCATTCCTGACTAGAAGCACAATCCCGCATTCCTTGCCTTTTGTTTGTGTTGCGGAGACGGGCTCGCTCGCTGGGTGAGCGTCCAGCGCAGGTCCCAGCCCTGGGCCGGCGCTTTCAGGGCGACTGGTGCCGAGGCGCTTCGCGCTTCGCCCAGGACCCTTTTAAAGTCCGCCCAGCACCCTCCCTTCATGAACATGGAGGTTTTTGGGATGAGAGGCACCTTAATGGGAGTGATTAGGAAGGGCCTAACCTCCCACAATCCAATTGTGGGAGGGGAGGTTAATGGGGAAGAACAAATTGGGGGTCAGAGTTGGGCCTCTCTCAACGAGGGTTGTTTTGGTTTAGAATTCTTGTGCAATTGCTTTAGTATTGCCTTTGTTATCGTTCAGTACTGCTTTGTGCTGTATTAGTATTTTTCTAGTATTGCTTTGTGCTCGTACAGTATTTTTGGTGCGTTAAAAGAAACTTTTCTGTACTTTCTACCTTTTTTTTGCAGGGTGGGGAATGATTTTGGAACAACTTTCTGAACTGCCTGCGCATTCACCAGTCGCTACCCGACATTGGGGACTCCGCCCGCTTTTGGGTTGAGATATCGGATTTTGCCTGTTCCCTTGAACAGGCAATGCTGAAATCGCCCAAGCTTTGAGGGACGAGGTGTGTCTTTTTTGTGTTGAAGCAAAGCTGTACGGCCATGGGTATGAGTTCCTGGCCGTTTTACAGTATTTGGAAGGGGGTAGGCAACGTGTCAACGGCACAAGGGTCATATAAGTGTATGGATTGAAAGGAAGTTCATACGATTGCGTTTTGTCCTTCGGTTTTCCAAGGCAAATCCAAGGGATGCCAGGCCCCATTCTCAATAAAGGTCGCCTCGAGAAGGGCTTCTGCAGTTTGGCCGTGCCCTAATTTGCCACCAAAGATGGTCAGACGGCAATCCCTGCTTCACTGGTCTCAAGGGAATTGGGATGCCTACCAACTCAGACTGTGAGAATGACAGAAGTGGAATGAAGGATAAGGCAGCAAGAGAAACTCTTGCTCATTAGACAGCACCCCGGAGGGCATTCTCTGCTGAAATTATCCTTCCCATTCCTACCCAAGCCCACACCCCACTTTATCCCCTCCATGAACCCATTCATATCCCACCCAGAGGCCATTCTTCCATCCGTCTAAAGCTCGCAGAGTTATCTTGTCAGTTGGCACCGAGAGGCATGGCTCAAGTGGCTTCTATGGGTCCCTTTGGCAAGCGTGCCTTGTCTTTGAGCATGGTAGGGTTTGTGGCCGGGCCCGTTTCGCTCAAATCATTGGGGCCCTTCACTTTTTGGGGTCCCTGAGGAAACACTCAATCTAGCCACGAAACAAGCTCGGGGCCGAAACGGGCAATTTGGGATAATTGGGGACATGGTAAGGCTACGAAGGGCACAGGCCCAAAAGGCACACCGAAACGGGCCCCATGCCCAAAGTTCCCATGACTCGCAAGTTCGCAAGAGTGTCGGCCAGGAAAGAAGCTGGCCCAGCGCAATGCCTGCCTGGCTTTGGCCTCGAGAGGTCGAACTTGCATCTTAAAGCCAAGCCACTTGGAAGGTTTCTGGGGTCCTAGGTGGTTTCTGGTTTGTGGAACATGAGCGGGGGTTAGTCGAGATCTTTGCTTTCAGGTTTTCACGTTCAGGTGAGCAATGGGCACGACGCCTTTGGTAGCCTACGATTCAGGGAAGGCGCTTCTCCAAAACATGTGCCCAAGATTTGGTGGGGTTCTGCACATTTGTGGGAGCATGCTCAACGATTTTCTGTGGCTCTTTGTGGAAAATAATCCAATTTGGGATTTTGGTTTGTTGTACATGAGGAACACCCAAATCCTGTAAATCGGCCAAGGCAGTAAGGGGGTCCAGTTTTTCTCTTATTTTGGGGTGGATTGTGGAAAGTCAAACAGACCTTTGTACGCATGTTGGCAACGCCAATGGGTTTCGGGCGCTGCTCAAATTGAACCCCCGTGATTCATTATGGTGTGTGTGTGTGTGTGTTCAGTCTCTATCTTGATGTTTCAGCAATCAGCAGCATTCACAAACATGAATTTCGGATACATGTGATTCCCAGAACATGCAAGGGGACCCCTAAAGTGGCAGTTTTGCTTTTGGTTTGCTTCAAAGAACCAACCAATTGGTTCGGTCATCCGCATAATCTCGAGCTCACCACTGAGGTGAACGCGCTTCATTTTGAAGGTTCCCTATTGGGACACTCCCAAATTTCAGATTGCGGATGTAAACAAGTTGATGCGATCAGCAGCTCCTAGTCTTCTTGCAAACTCCCTACACCCTCCCAAAGGGCCTGACCGCAGAACTGCATGGTTCCCAAATGAGGGGGGCCTGGCAGTTGGCAGTACCAAACAGAAACAATGGACACCTCTCCGTCCTTTTCCAGGACCTCCCCCAATGGTTCCACAGCTCGGAAGCACACCTTTCTAGTCCGGCCCACATGAGGCGGTCAAGGCCTTCTTGGACGCGCATCTCCCAGCTGAGAGCTAG